GTCTTATCAGTGAGGGGGCAATGAGCTTGGTTAAGCACAGAGTATTGGGCTCCTGCATCCATCATAAACCCTATTGGTTTCTTACTGACATCAGGGGTTGGCCTGGTGGATAAAGGACACAATTACTGCCAACTGGTTTTCTTCAGCCAAGGTATCTAAGGGAGTGCACTGAGTATAAACTTCATTCATGCATTCAAGTAGCACAGATGGGTTTTCATTTTCTCTCTGCACAATAGTTTTTACCTGGGCCAATTTGTGAGTCACTGCACTGCTGCCCTTAGACCTGCCACTACAGTCTGGCAGTAAACTCGGGGACACTCTCTACCTTCCAGAGTCATAAAGTGCCAATTCAGCCATTGCAAAGGGAAGGCATCATCAATGAAATTCTGGCAGTTGGTGGGCCTACCATTTTCTCCATTATCATTTCTCCAGGCTTCATTCAGGATGAACTCTTCAGAGGTGAACAGTGTTTTGAGTAGCTGCTGGCAATCATCCCACATAGGGCAGTGGGTGTTCATAATAGATTCCACAAGGTTGGCTAATGCTCTGGGGTCTTTGGAAAATGCAGCATTCTGAGTTTTTCAGTTATACAGGTCACTGGAGGAACAGGGCCTGTACTGACAAGTTTGAGCCTTAGCTTTTGCATGGACTGGTGTTCAGTGGTCAGCATTATTCAGTGATTACAAATTCTTCAAAGGAATAGTACTGTTATGGGAATCTTTAAGATTGAATCACATACCAGAAGCACAGAGGGTTTGACCTGGAGCTACTTAAGTAGTGATTCAGAGAACCAAAACCCCAGAGCTCCTGGCCGAGGGACCCCCCAGGCAGAGCCTGGCACCAAATGGCGCACTGGCCTCTTGGGACAGCTCACCTCGTGCACATGGTGGCTGTCGTCTGGGATCCTGAGATGCCCTGTCTTGAGACCCACCCGCATCCAGGAGGCTGCCTGGAAGTTTAAAGTCCCAGGTCCAAAGTCGCACCCCACCCCAATCCCATGTACTCTTCCTGCTGTTGTGCTGGATTTTTACATCCCCAGAAAATCATCAAGTCTGAATTCTGTTCTGAGGGATAAAGGTGGTTTATTCAGGTTAGCCAGGCTGGGTGCGGGTGAGGGGCAGCCACAGCTGAGGTTGCTGTAGGATCCACAGGGAGGACAAAAAGAAGCAGAGAATGAGCCAGAGAGAGCGCAAGAGCCTAAGCTCCCCCTCCCGCCCAGTTCTTATACATTTCAGGCTATTTATTATACAGTTATGGTTTAGCAGACTTCTATGGGTGGATTTGAAACAAGCAACTATCTAAAAGTTAAATCGATGAGCTATATGGTGGTGAATCTTACCAAACACTAGGCACCTCCTTCCTGAGGAGTGGTCTGCCTATGTGACCTGTGGGGTGTCCTGCCGGGTGTCACATAGACTATCAGGCCTGAGTTCACACAGCCCCAAGCCAAGTCATTAAGGCAGAATCACAAAGGGCAGAAAACAACTAGGTTCTTCACTGTTGAGTATGATAACTAGGGCTGGGAGCAGATCAGGTTTAGCAGGGCTACAATATGTTAGCTTATAGTTCAGCTAGATTAGGGGCAGAGCCAGGCTGCGCTAAGTGACTGTGCCCACTGCTGTATGCTTAGGTCAGAGTAACAGCAGGCTGGTTGGGTTTTGCCACAGCATTAGCTGGCAACTGCTGGGATTGTGGGAGGGTGAAAGTCCTGCCAAACTACGCCACAGAACTACCTGGAAGGTGCAAGATCAGGGGATGTCAGTGGGCCTGGTTAGGAAGCTGTGGACATTCCATTATAGGTTGCAGCTCCCACTGGTGAGTGTAAGAATTACACCTGTGAGTTGGCCTGGCTGGACAGGCATCAGCACCTGTAGGCACGACTTTGGCCTATACAATGGTTGGTCTGAGTTAGGTTGTAACACCCATTGATGTGTACAAGAGCAAAATGAGATGTAAGATAGACTTGAGTATTCTGCTGCACACACACCAGCATGTGCAGGAACCAGGTCTGGGAATGGACCTTGTGAATATTATTGGGAGTTGCTCTGACTATGCTTCAGCTTCCACTAGTGCATTTAAGGGCCAAATGTGTGGTGGGCAGGGTTAGGATGCACTGCAGTATCCATTGATTTGCATATGAAATGGGGCTAGAGACAGAACTGATCCAAAAACTGCAACCACCAGTGTGTAGTGCAGGTTGATATGGATGATGGACCAAGCCAAGACTATAGTATGTTAGTTATTTAAAACAGTTTAGAATTCTAGTTCTTATGATGTTATGATACTTTATGCACAGCTAATTCCCACAACCGGCTCTTTACTGTGAGCTGAAAACACCAGACGCAATGAGGTAAGGAGGTATCATAGAAGGTTTATTCCAGCGGGGCAGGAAATGGGGAAAGCGGGAAGGGAGGAGAGGCTGGAAGGAGGAGAGAGAGTTTATAGAAGAGCAAAGAAGAGACAGAGCTGCACCTGGGGTCCTTTTTGTCTGCCAGGTGTGGGAGGGATTGAGGGCAGGCCCCAGGGGATTGACAACTGCAGGTGAATGCCTGAGGATGATTGTGAGTGGGTGGGGTTGAGGAAGGGACTGGAAGATTAGGGGTGGGATTCTCAGGTGGAATGCTGGGTTTCATACATCAGAACTTGGCTTCCTTGGTTGTTGAAGACAATGCAGTGGATGGCATGCTCCGAAGCACAATGAGGATACAGTAGTTCATTGGGGTCTGTAGAGGAAATCGTACCATAGTAGAGGTCGGAGGACAGAATAAATTGAAAGTTGTCTTAGTCAAGCTTTGACAGCAAATGTCTGGCAAATGGAGACACTAAGGTGTACTGTGTCAGCCAATGGACCTTGGAAGAATTTCCTCCTCCTTGGAGCAATGAAATCAACAGCATCTCATAACTTTTGAAATAGCTAAAGCAGTACCCTCAGAGCATGCCCCAGATCGGGGATGCTGGAATGACATCGAGTGGCTGTCCCACATCTCTATGATGTGCTTAGGAGTCTGGGTGCAGCTTTTCCTGTTCTCTCTTCTTTTCCCCCATATATGGGAAAAAGAAAAAGAAAAATTGGAAACAATTTTCTTATCCAATTTCCCCTATTCCTCAACCCTTCCCACCCTAATCAGTGATGCACATAGGCATGCAACCTCCCCAAATATGTCTACATCATCAATAAAACAATTTAAATAAGTGATTGGCAGCACAGGCCCAGTTAAAGTCAATAGTGTAGCAGTTAAAGTCCTCCCCTTACACATGTCAGGATCCCATATGAGCACCGGTTCTAATCCCAGCAGCCCCGCTTCCCACCCAGCTCCCTGCCTGTGGCCTGGGAAAGCAGTGGAGGACGCCCCAAAGCCCACACCCGTGTGGGAGACCCGAAAGAGACTCCTGGCTCCTGGCTTTGGATGGATGCAGCTCCAGCCGTTGCAACCACTTCAGGAGTGAAGCATCACAGGGAAGGTCTTCCTCTGTCTCTCCGTCTCTTTGTGTATCTGACTTTTGAATAAAAATCTTTAAAAAAAATGACTGACATGAAGATTGTACTAATTTTCATCAATGAATACATTTTGTCAAGCAATGGGCAAAAGAGATTATTATAAATGTGTTATGTTACATGTTATAAACACTAATGTTTGAAAAAAACTGGGTACCTGCAATTTTTGCTGTTTAAAATGGTTGAAAATTCACTAATTTGGTATTTGTCATGACTTTACAGGACCTAAATATTCTGTGTAAGAAGTGGCTCTATAAAAACGTGGTAAAGGTACCAGATGAACATTAGGAATTTCTAACTGTTGTAGCTGAGTTTGATTTCTAAATCCTTAGTAATTTTTATGCACAAATATTTATAGTATCTGGAAATGTTGACTTTAATACCATGCCTTGAAATGCTATGTAAACATGTAATTTTAATGTATAGTCTAAGAGTACAGCAAAGATCAGAAAACACAAAATTCTGAAATCAAATTCTATTTGTGAATTCAGCAAAAAATATTTTATGGAACAAAACAGTAAAATGTTTTATGAAACAAAAAAAGTTTATGAAACAAAACAGTAAAATATTTTAGCTTGTAGTACAGATTATATGTTTGCAGATATTTGGTGTTTTTACAGGTTCCAAGTTACCAATTCTCTTCTTATTAAAGCATTAACTCTTAAGTTTCTTAGAATCTTTAAGGAAATATTTTAAACTAGTACCTTAAATTTACATTAATTAAGGAGAAGTGTAGTCTTATCAAACATACCAGTAAACAACATGAGTTTTTAAATAATGGACAAATAGAGTTTATCCACTTTGAAGTACAATGAACTCTACTAATGTCTACTTTACTATGATCAACAGAGTAAGGTTTTGAAACTAAAACTAATAAATTATAACTAAACAACAAAACCAAAAAGTTCAAACAATATCAAATACTTATCCATTATATTCCACACATTCTGGTCTAACAAAACGTGCATATTTTTCTAGGATTTTAAAATTCATATAGCACTATTTATCACATCAAGATATTGAACCATTAAACACTGAACACAATGAACACATACATATTCAAATAAAAACTGTAACATTCTTCACTGTTTTATATTTTATATTAAATACGATAACTCTGAGTGATATAGCTGCTGTTTTGGGACAACAGTTGTCAGTCAAATAATTTAGTTTCCTTGGCTACAAGAAGCTGCTATGAAGCCATGCTTAATGTTCCAATAGGAATATAGAATTTGAGTTGTTAACATCAAAATAAAAATATAAAGAAAAATATTTAGAAACAATGCTACATCGTAAGTTTTCACATCAACATATAACTTAAGTTATATGTTTTAAAATTTAAAATTATTGACATACAGAAAGGCTTATTTTAAAGTTTTTTGTTTTTGGTAAAGGCATTCATCTGTCATGAAGGAAGCAAGACTAGTTGTATATAATGCAATGGGCACAAAGTGAATTTAATTTTGTGTCTGTATATACATCTATTTCAAAAATGGTTCTTGTTTAAAAAATAGTCATTCATTCAATTTGTACATCTTTGCCATTAACATAGTATCAGCCTTTATTATAAAATACTATACACTTTACCCTGTGTTTTTACAAACTGATAGAGAATATACGACAGTGAATAGTCTCAATGTAGATTTTGAGCAGTTCCTCTTTTAAATACCACTCAAGCATAGAAAAAGTTAGAAAAATGTTAAGGCAAGAGAGTAGGATCTTAAGGAAACCAATTAATCGTGTGCATTTGATGGATATTTGATTTGAGGTGAATTAACTTCTTCACTGCTTTCACAATATTCTTGTGTTTGTTGGTCAGATTTCTGAGTGCTCAAGTGAAGTGCTGCTGATCCTGTCAATGGCAGTCCATGCACATGGTTATTCTACAAGGGTAAATAGAGATCAAAATGTCAAATTTTTCATCTATTACAATTAAAATTTATAATAATGAGATAGTCTGTCCAAAATACGAGTGGACAATATCTGACTTGTGCACTGTATATGGCTCATAAAATTATTTGGTCTGGCACAGTAAGGGCAATAACAGGCAGAACTCAAAACCAGTAATTTACAAACAGCCTAATTTTTAAGTTGATCATTATGTGAGGCCCATGACACAGGACATAAATATTTCATTGGTTTCCTATTCCTGCTCTGGAAGTATTTTATTTGCAATAGTTTAAGAAAGGACTCTTCTAGCAGTTGTAACACTGCTAAATTGTAAGGAACAAGCACATAAAAACTTTTGAGGAAGCTTGCATACACAAAACTAGGAGTTTCTGATGATATTTAATTTCTATTTTCACAAAGTGTTTGTCTTATTCTGGGTCTGGCCCGATAGTTCAGTGGCTAAATTCTCCCTTTTCAAATGCCAGCTCTGGCAGCCCCACTTCCCTTCCAGCTCCCTGCCTGTGGCCTGGGAAAGCAGTCGAGGACGGCCCAAAGCCTTGGGACCCTGCACCCGCGTGGGAGACCTGGAAGAAGTTCCTGACTTTGGACCAGCCCAGTTCTGGCTGTGAGGGTGATTTGGGCAGTGAATCAGTGGATGGAAGATCTTTCTCTCCTTTTCTCCTTCTCTCCAAGAATGTGATTTGCCATTCCAATAAAAATAAATCATGAAAAAAAGTCTTACTCCCAATAGTTGTGCTAAAAAATGGCTTTTCCTTTTTCTGTTTTTTTTTTTTAATGATTTCTTTATTTTTATTGGAAAGGCAATTAACAGAGAGAAGGAGAGAAAAAGATCTCCGTTCCTCTGGTTCACTCCCCAGGTGGCCACAATTGCCAGAGGTGAGTTAATATGAAGCCAGGAGCTGCTTCTAAGTCTCCCATGTGGGTGCAGGATCCCCAGTTCCCACATGAGATCCCTGTGGATACAAGGTGAGGATTTAGCTGCTAGGCTAAATTGCACAAGCCCCCCAAAATAGTTTTTCAAATGTGTTCCTTGGATAAGCAGCAACAATATATTATGTGGACATTTATTAGAAACAGAAATTTTTCAGTCCCACTATAATGTAACACACCAAATTCTAAGACTCCAGACATGGTAACTTCTGTTCTTCCCAAGAACTTCTCAGTCATTATAAGACCTGTGAAGTATAACTGCCTTAAGAAAATTGGATGGATCACTAATTACACTTAAGATAAACTTCCAAGAATCTTCCCAAACAGTAAAAAGAAGGATATGTCAGTGTATCACTGTTGGTGCAAATAATTTTGTAAAGCTGAAAATAATTTTTCAATTTACACAGTAGACTGATTAACAGGCAGAGATACAGGAAGATCTTCTATTTGCTGGTTTACTTCCCAAATGGCCACAACACCAGGACTAGGCCAGGCCAAACCCAGGAGAACAGAACTCTGTTTGGGCCTTCTAAGATGAGTGGCAGTGACAGGCGTAATAACGGGGACTTGGACTGGAAGGGGAACAGCAGAGACTGAGTATGCATTCTGGCATTTTAGCTGGTGACCAACTGTATTGCATCACTCTGCTGGACTTTAATAAAAGTTTTAAAAATGGCTGTTACACCTAGTGGATAAAAAAAATATCCTACATTAAAATCCTAGGTTCTAAAGTCATCTTTGGCTCCAAATTTTAATTTGTTGCCAATGTCAACTCGAAGAGTCAGATGGTATTACTCAGGTGTTTTTATTCCTGATATTAATCTGGAGACTTATATCATTTTTCTATTTTCTGTGGTATGCATAGGTAAAGAGGATGAGAGTTTGGTTTTTTGTTTTTATTCTTTCATCTCTTAATGAGAAATAAAAACCATTTCACTGCCATTTGTTACTTTCGCTCTTAAGCTTAAGAATGACCCTTTTACATAGATGTCAGGTATACATTTTATTACTAGCACATGGCAGATGTCCAGTTAAACAGGGTAAATACCATAGTGGTAAGATGAAACATAATACAACTCTAATAATTTCTTCTTTTGGCACAAACCTGTTCATTATCATTCAATCACAACCATCAAATAACATTTAAGAACAAATGAAGCATACTTTAAATAAAGCACAAAAACTGCTTTTCACATAAAAATATAAATAATTCCTGCTTACTTGTTGATACATAGATCCAGATGAATGGGAATACAATGAAGCACGTTTGGGTGGGGATATTTCATCCTTATCTGTAACATCTTGGAAATCTGGTTCCTAGTTTTAAAAAATTTACTGATAAAAAATTAAGCTATAAAATTAAGTTCAAATTGGTATTTTAATCTCAATCTAGAAACATTTTTAAAATTTACTAAATTGACTTTAACATTTTTCACTAAGAAAAATAAATAATTCAATTCTTCCAGAAACATCTTTTTAAATTTCAATGTTTTCAAAAGCACACTCTTAAAAGCAAGCACATATTAGCTATCAGGGAAATAATAAAATGTTTAAGAAACAAACTAATAAATGTTGGAATTCATGCAGAAGAAATTTAATGTTTCATTTCTATTTTTTGCTAATTCAAACTTTAATTTTTACTTTTCTCTTTTACCTCTTCTGGACAGAGCTCACAAGCTTTTGCAAGTGTCATACTTGCACTTTGTGATCTTTCTATGAAATAACCATTTGATGTTTCATTGCTTTGTATAGGAGGAGACCAATTATTGTAAGTATACTGAGGATTGCCAGCATATGGTCTTCTTTCCAGTTCATCTCCAAGCCATTCCACTGTCCAGGTCCACTTTCTTTTAAGATCTACATTACTCTTGAAAATAAAATAAAATTATAAATTTAAGAAATTTAGACACATTTTCATGTCAATTTAAAATGCTAATTCTAATTTTTTTTCATTTTTCTTTAAAGTAATCTAACTTAAAGTCAAAATTGCATAAAACTGTAAGGATAAAAACTTTCTTACCTGTAAGATTTGGCAAGCAACAGGACAACTGCTAAACAGAGCCACCATACATTTCATACATTGATATGCTCTTTTTTGATAGTGATTCTTAGAACGTTGGATTGTATCAAACAGTCCATCTCGTTCATCTGGTATTCCTTTAAGTGCATTATGAATTCTGACAAATAATAAGATATAAAAAAATGGTTCAAATACAATAGATGGTAACACTGAGAGCTACAGTATGTCACTTGCTATGTGTTTCCATACATAGTATCCTTAGAGTTAATTTTCTTAGTAGGTAGCATCAGCAAATTAATTTAACAGATAAAAGAAAAAAGTACAGAACAATTCAAGTGATTGTCAATATTTCAGATCTAGAGTTGGCTAGCATGGTCACCTTAAGTTTCAGACATTTGCCAGATTACTAATACAAAATAATTTTGCTATATTAAATTCAAGTGATCTATAATAAATGAGTTAAGGAAATAACATATTATTTCTACTAGAGTTAACTACAGGATTTTTTTAAGTGTAGTACAATTTACTTCTTTTTTTAAAAAAGATTAATTTATTTTCATTGGAAAGGTGGATATACAGGGAGGAACAGAGACAGAGAGGAAGCTCTTCCATCCAATGATTCACTCCCCAAGCAGCTACAATGGCTGGAGCTGAACCAGCCTGAAACCAGGAAACAGGAGCTCTTCTGGGTCTCCCACGTGGGTGCAGGATCCCAAGGCTTTGGGCCGTCCTCGACTGCTTTCCCAGGCCACAAGCAGGGAGCTGGATGGGAAGTGGGGCTGCCGGGATTAGAACTGCTGCCCATAAGGGATCCTGCCATGTGCAAGGCAAGGACTTTAACTGCTACGCTATTGTACCAGGCCCTAGGGCAATTTACTTCTAATTAGTTTTGACAAAATTTTATTTCAGATGGTGAAGCTAGAACCCATGGACTATAAAAATGACATACTTTGTAGTTAAAAAGCTGAATTCTTGAACTTGGAATCCATGTTGTTGTATAGATTAACCCTGGCAACACTGCTAAAATTTGATTGATATACTAGTTATCAATTATTTCTTTTCAGCTCCAGTGAACTGTAACTATTCTAGACTCAACTGCAGCTTTGTAATATGCTATGGAATTTTAATACATTCCAAGCAAAAGCACTTTTCCCTATAAACATTCATACATAAATTTTCTGAATTTAAAATTTCATAATATCTGATAAAAACATATGCATATGCTCTTTTCTTCTGGCAACTTTAGTGGAATGTTTAATTTCAGTTATAATCAATACTTAATTTTCATATTTCCATATCATTTCTGGCATCAATTGCTTATAATTTTAGCTAACATAAATTTTCTTGTCTCTTTCTATTGTGCAAAAGTTAATATCATGCATTGTACTGCTGCAAATAATTTTTACCAAATACTCATTATATCAAATATTTTAAATTGAACTTAATAATGCAGTAATTTACTAATTTTGTATGGTAATTCCAATTCATCTACATTCATGCAATACTTATTCTTCTATTATTACCATTTCCTGGTCTAAAACAATATTACAAGACACAATTAACTGATGTAAAGCAAACAGTAGAAATCACAAATTATATTACATATGCCTATAAGATTTCTTTTTTTAATTTTAATTTTTCCATTTTTAAATGATATTTTTGACAATCTTTACATAGTTAATTAGGGTAAAAAGGTTCAAGGGCTACAGGAAAGTTGGTAAGACTATTATTTCCATATTGTTTCCTTCTTGTATGTGAGATAAAGGGGGATTTTAAGGGAATAAGCCCTATAATGCCTATAAGAATTCTTTAAAAACAAAAAAGTAGATACCATTAAAACACACTATTTAACGTCCAGCATGATGATGCTGACATCCCATATGGGTGCCAGTCAGTGTCCCACCTGCTCCACTTCCCATCCAGCTCCCTGCTTGTAGATTGGGAAAGCAGTAGAGGATGATCCAAAGGCTTGGGACCCTGCACCCATATGAGAAACCGGAAGAAGCTCCTGGCTTCAGATTAAGTTAGCTCTGACTTTGGTGGCCATCTGGGGAGTGAATGTGATGGAAGATCTTTCTGTCTATTTCTCTCTAAAAATCTGCCTTTCTAATAAAAATAGATAAATGTTTAAAAACAAATCAAAAACATGCTATTTGAAAAGCAACAAATTTTAAAATACCAATTGAATTGCATGTAACATAAATAATTATAGGTTGGGTCTTAATATTTTTTATCTCATTGCAGTTGGCTTTGCAAAAAGGATTTATTTATTTCAGATTTGGGAGAGAGACCAAGAAAAAGAGAGTGCCTCTATTTGCTCATTCAGTCCCTAGATGGGTGAAATGGTGAGGTCTGAGCCAGGTTTAAGTCATAACCAGGTGCTTCCTCTTGCTCTGTCATATGATTGCAAGAACTTGGGCCATCTTTCACTGCTTTTCCCAGGCCATTAATAGAGACCTGGTGTAGAAGGACATTGTGACCCTAGAAAGTCAACCAGCACACAGGATTACTACTGATAGGATAGTATTTGTATGAGAACTGAATGAATACCATTTGTGCAACTGATTGGACATCATGGTATGAGAAAACTGAGTGGATGTGAATGAGAACACTTGGTGGGATATACAAAACAGAAGACTTCCAGACAAGGAAATAGAAACAATGGGTTCCTTAGACAATCTCAGTATCTCCTCCCTTATGCTATGTAACCCCTGGTCTATAAAAAGTCTGGTGGCCACTAATAAAATGATAGCTATTGACCACCAGTCTGCAGTCCACATGTGTTACTATAGGCTCCATGCACCAAGTAATTGCTGATGGACAGCTAACAGTCTGGATCAGAAGAAGAGAAGCTAGCCCAAGAACTGGTGCCCATACAGGAAGATGGCATTGCACGAGGTAAATTACTTATTAACTCCACAATGTCAATCTCTAAACACTGCTGAGTTGAAACCTTAATTGCATATTCAGGTTTTCCCTTTGTTTATTGTAATGTCTAACAGAGAGCAGAAAATATTTATATATTTTCCTAACATAAATGTATTCTGAGATCATATTGTAAAAAACTAAGGCCATCAGATGAGCTGGCAGTAAATTCTATGCCATTATTTTCAAACGGAATTTTATTGTAGACCAATGCTGGAATATATTTACAGGACTGTAAGCAGGACAATTTAAATACAAAAAAATTAGTAATGATTTCTCATGTATCAGAATGTATAGGCCAAAGATTATTTATAAATTACTAAATATTTCTACAATAATTAATTTTAAAACATAATTAAAACTGTATAATTAAATACTTATCCGAAGCCTGTGTATGCTAGTTTTCTTTCAAGTGCAAAATAAAAACATTAAATGCAAGGAAATTAACAATTTAAATTTAAATTAACAATTTACAATAAAAATTAACAATGGATAAGAAATAGCAGTAGGAATTTTAAAATGTATTATATATATATATATATCATTAAAAAGAGCTAAAAAGGTGAGAATATTTTTGGCCCCTGACAGTTACTTTTAAGAAACTGAGAAACTGAAATAATGTTAACAAGGAGTACCTACCTGTGAATCTGCCAGGAATCTTCAATCAGTAAAATTTGCAAAAGTAGATCCAAATAGGGCCAAAGCTCACATGTATATGAATATGTAACCTAAAAAGAGGTAAAATATTAATTTACTTACTGGAAGAATTACTAAAAAAAAAAAAATAGACTTATAAGTGTTTATTTTCCTTTAACCTGCCAAAGAAGTTCACTGAGGACAGTAGATGAGAATTGAGGATTCTCCCAGCAGCAAAAACAAAGTAATTTGATGGTCTCCTCAGAATTACTGCAGTCTTCAATAATTTTCTTCACATACCTTGTCCTCACAAATAAAATGTCTGCCACATTTTGCTGAATTGGCATTATGGGTTGTGATAAGTTAGTGTCACCAAAAGGATTAGGAAGAGGAGGATTACCTAAAATACATATTTGAAATTATATTTCCTTAATACACTAAAAATTCACTAAATGACTAGATACTCTAAGATGGTAAAATGCAAAAATATAAATACTAAAACTGGAGACAACATATGAAAATGTATATACTATTTATTTTAAGTTAAGATGAAATATTCTAGATTTTATAAAATATTTGTTTTTTTCATTTTAATATCTTAAGAATTACTACAGGTAAGGTATTATATGACTCTCATTACTGAAAAATTAAAAACATGAAACATTCTACTTTACCGTTGATTGAAGATTGCATTCTTGATGAAACACTGCAGCAACGGATTAACTGAGACACCACTGAATATAACTTGCCTAATTCAGCATACTGATACTTGATTGGAGGACCTGGCCCTTCATCTAAAGAAACAAGCATAAAAGTAGCAGGTACACTCAACTTCAAAAGCTGTGTCTTTTCCGCCAGGCCTGTAAGAAGAGAGAAAGCATAAATTTGGAATACTGTATAAAAATACCAGGTACACTCAACTTTAGATGGTCTTTTCTGCCATGCCTATAAAAAGAATGGAGAAAAGAAGGGCAAGAAGGTTAAGAAACAATAGTGCTATGATAATTAGCAAAGTTGCATTCATTTTTATGATTAAAATCTTATCTCCTGCAAGTAATGTCATGGCATATGATACCAAGCTTCTGCCTCTGGTGCCAGCTTCCCACATGGGTACTATTTCAAGTCTTGGGTGCTTCACTTCCTATCCATTTCCTGCTAATGTACCCTGTAAGGCAGGGGAAGATGACACAAGTGTTGGGTCCTTGCATTCACATGGAAGACCTAGAAGCAGCTCCCTGGCTCCTGGCTTTGAAGTAGCCCACTGATTTATGGCTATGATGGCCATTTGGAGAGTGAACCAGTGGATGGGAGATTTCTGTCTCTCCTCTTTGTGACTTTGTTTTTAAAACAAAACAAAACCCCACAAAACTTAGCTTCTCTGTTTAGAAAAGTCAGTGCAGAATGAAATACATATTGACTTAAATAGGATTATGTGCATTTAAAATGCTGAAATAAAGATTTGTGTGTCTGTCATTAAAATCTTACTTGAGCGCTAAGGAAAATGCATACTTTCTGTGACTTTAGCAAAGGCTCACTACAATTCACTCTGAAACAAGCTGACCCTGACATGATAGAACAACGGGTGAAGTCCTCGCCTTGAACATATCAGGATCCCATTTGGGCACCGGTTCTAACCCTGGCAGCTCCACTTTCCATCCAGCTCCCTGGTGTGTCCTGGAAAAGTAGATGAGAGAGGCCCAAAGCCTGGGTACCCTGCACTCACAGAAGAGCTCCTGGCTCCTGGTTTTGGATGGGCACTGCTCAGCCATTGCCGCTGCTTGGGGAGTGAATCATTAGACAGAAGATCTTCCTCTCTGTCTGTCTCTCCGTATATTTGACTTTCCAATAAAAATAAATAAATATTTTTTAAAAGCCCAAAACAATTCACTATGACACAAGGTAAATCAAGTAATAAAATTAAAAATTGCTAATCTCTTTTTTCTCTGCCTACACAAAATGCCTATATGTACTTTCTCATTTCTCCACCTATTGCTACCTATTTCAACTGTCTTGGTTTAATGCTATCAAATCTAGGGCTGGCTCATGGACCCCCTGGTATGCCCGAAATCTGGCACTGGGAGAGGTTCTGATGGAGGATCCTGGGCAACTCCTCTGGCAGGACACAGACCCTGCAGGTGAGTGCAAAAAGCCTGATAGGAAACAGCCCAGAACAGGCCATGGGAAGTTACCCACTGGCATACATTTGGCATGGGCTGGGGGCAGACCAGGCTGAATCAGCTCACATCATCCACTGGCAAATCCGAGCACCAGAACAGAGTGTGGGTCGAGCCAGGTTCAGTTGCGACAAAAACCAGTGCACAATAAGGAATGCCAAGGTGAGGTTGCCTGTACTGGATATGACCATAGCGCCCAACCAGCAAGCATCAGAACCAGGAAGGGAGGGGGCGGAGCCGGCAGAGGAATAAGGGATGGTCCCCTTGCTGGAGAGTGTGAGCTGGGATGGGGGACAGACCAGACAAAACAAGGCTACAACACGTGTGTGCCTCATATGGACTAGATCAGGGAAAAGCCAGGCTAGGCTGATTATTCCTCCTGGTGCAAACAAAATTAGAGTGGGTGAGGGTTGTTGGGATTTAGGCACGGCATCAGCTGGCAGAAGCTGGCACTGGGACCTAATTCTGTCAAGTCAAACCACAGAACTACCTGGAGAGAGCACAAGCCTGGAGTGAGAGGCCTGGGAGGGAAACAGTGGGTTCCTCCCTCCTGGATTACCACTTGCACGGGAGGGCACGAAAAGTAGGACAGGGGCTGGGGTGGCTAGACAGAGAGGCACTCAACAACATCTGTGAGGGCTGGATAGTTGAGCCTGGTTAGATGGAACTAGGCTTAAGTACCCATTGACATGTATGGGAGCCAAATGGATGTGGGACAGACTGGACTCGTCTGCTGCACATATGGCTAACCAGGGTAGGGGGCGGGCCTACTGGGGGGTTACCGTGGGTTGCTCCAACTAGGCTGCAGCCCCTACTGGCTTATGTGAGGGCCGAGTGTGTGCTGGGCAGAACCAGGCTGGACTGCAACCCCCATTGGCTCCAGTGAAGTCGGGGCTGCTAACAGAACCAGCCTAGTGATTGCAACCACCAGCTGATCAGGACGATGGACTGTGCCAGGCCCTGTACTTGCCAACACATATGAGAATCCAATCTGGGGACACCTCAGACAAAGTTTCTTTGGGGATCGAAATGCCAGACTCATAGCCCTAACCAAGAAAAGACAGAAGACAGAAAAGGTCCATCAACTACCTCAGCTATATGTTGGCAACAAAATACTAGACAAATGGAGACTATGATGGATTAAGTCATTGAGTGGATTCTTCAAAGACCTCATCGTGCTTGGAGTGGCAAGATTGGCAGCGATTCATAACTGATCAACTATCAAAACCATGTGAGCAAGAACCTCGGAGCATGCCCTGATCCAGGACCTGGTGTGGGTGGGAGACTGGGTGGGGCTTCTCCCTCAATATCCCCTTTACCTCACATACATGAAGGAAACAATATGGAAATAATAATCTTACCAACTTTCCTATAGCCCTTGAACCTTTTTACCCTAATTAACTATGTAAAGATTGTCAAGAATATAATAATAAAAAAACTAAGATAAACTAATACAAAAAAAAGAGAGAGAGAGAGAGAATAGTGCCGCCAGTACTTGATGGCACACATAAACAATATGGTATTACAGCTGGCAGCTTACCCTGCCAGTCTGGGTAACTTTTAGATTTGGCCTTTTAATAGTTTGTCTTAATTCTTGAAAAAAAATTTTTTTTTACCTTGACCCACTACTGCTTCTAGCTTTTTGTTTATTTTCCCCTGGTGACTGGAAAAATATCCTAATTTTGAGATTCTTTCTTCTGCCTCCTTCATTCTATGCTGGAGACTCTCCAGTGTACTTTCAATTTGCTCCACTGTACTCTTAATATCTGATATATCAGTTTTTGTCTGATTCATGTCCTGTGTGACGTATTCCTTAAATTTCTTCAATGCCTGCTTTACATGCTTCTTTTTGTGGATCTGAAGCTTTATAATAAGTGTTTTGAATTCTGTATCCTCTCCATTCTCTCAGTGTCTTCCTCAGTTAACACTGAGGTTGGCAAGGGGTTTGCTCCTTTGCAGGGGATTTTTCAGTAATATTCATTGTGCCTCTGTCTCTTCTTTTGCTCTATATCATTGTACTTCTGGTAATCATATTCCTCTCTTTGTGCAGGTTTCTAAGCTGTGTCACTCACAGGACTACTGTTCGATTTTACTTATTGTGGTTGGCACATGGTGTTCGTTTGTAGCCAGTTTTACCACTCCCTCCAGTGAGTTCCAGGTCTGGGTTCTTATGTTAGATTTCCACTGTGATCTCCGTAGCCTCAGCTCCTGGCTCACCACTCTCCACCTCCTGTGATAATGTGCTGAGGCTGCACTGCTGTCTACAACCTTTTCCCACTTCCTTTGGAGCAGGTCCCAGGATTAGGTAGACACCACGTGTCCTATATAGCTGGGTTGTTGTTGATGGTTATCTTGCGGGAACCTGTTGGCCATTAGGTCTGAGGGCCAAATGGACCTATTTTGACCTATATGATGCCAGTATTATTTTCCTGTGGGACCAGTGCACATCTGGGACCTGCTGCTCTGTCTCTGCTCCTGGTTAAAACAAACATACCAGCAGGACAGACAGTTCTTTGTCTGGGTTCACCTCCCAATCTCCCAGTGCAAGTCCCTTCCCACTTTGTTTCTGGTGGAGTTCAGATCGCCATTAGCTGAATGCCACTGGAGTATCAGTCACTGCAACACCACACCATTGTTTTCCCCTGCTTTCCTGTCTGTCAGTTTCCAGGTATCCTTTTGCCGTCATTCTGTCCTCTCCTATTTCCTGGAATTTGCCCTCTCTGCTTCACACTGGCTAATATTTCTCCATCTGTTTAAATGTTTCCTTATCCTATACTGCCACCTTGATTCTCCTTTTTTACTTTTTAAAGATTCATTTCATTTTTATATCCATTGAAACCAGGAGCCCGCAGCCTCCATGCATGGGGGTGAATGGTCCCACAGCTTTGGGCTATTCTTCAAATGCATTCCCAGGCCACAGTGAGGGAGCTGGATGGCATGTGGGGCCTCTGGTGTTAGAACTGGTATCCATATGGGATTCTGGCACATGCAAGTTTAGCCTTTAGGCTACTGTGCCAGGACCCTAAAAAATCTTTCTTAATTTGATGACACAACTCATTTTCTCATGTAGTTTATTCATTCTTTTAACTTAGGTTGTTAAGGTTTGATTTGTAGTTCTTTGTAGGTAAACATTCCTTATTCATTACATAAATATTAACATCTATGATTGTAGGGTGCTGACATATTAGCATCATTACATAAATATGTTACAAGCAAATGCATTGTTTTAACTTTCTAAAATACAAAAAAAATCCTGAAACCTGATATTACTCTCAGTTACAGTCATGTTGAAGAGAAATGCTAGAAATGAAAAAGGAAAAACTGTAGAATTTTTTTCTGAGAAAACATGAACGTACTAATAGTTGACTACCAGATTTACAGGGAAAACTTTATAAAAATGTGTATACTAATTTTTAATTCAAAAATATTTACTTTCTGTTACTGAAAGTCACATATACAGAGAGAAAGAGCTGTCATCCATTAATTCACTCCCCAAGTGGCAGCAACAGCTGAAGCTGAGCTAATCTGAAGCCAGGAGTTCTTCCGGGTCCTCCACACAGGTGCAGGGTCCCAAGACTTTGAGCTGTGCTTGACTGCTTTCCCAGACCACAGGCAGGGAGCTGAATGGGAAGTGCATCAGCTAGGACATGAATGGTTCCCATCGGGATCCTTGCATGCAAGAGGAAGATTTAGCAACTCGGCTATTGCTCTGGGCCTTTTATGCTTTTTGAAAAGTCTGCACAAAACTGCCAAATGTCTGAATCAATTAAGCCTGTTTTAATTACTGTGACCTTAGATGAAAAGTCAACAAATTAGTATTTTTGATATCTTATGTGACATGTTTCACAAAATATGAATTTTTATTTTCTTTGCAAAATAAAACACTACTGAAATCATTTATATACCCATCAAATGATATTCCATTCCTTTAAGAAAAAAGTGACTTCATGTATTATATAAGCCTTTGATTTTCTGCAGTCTAGTCAGCAGTAAGCAAAATTTTAAATGTTTTCAAAACACAATGGCATTAGCATATTTTAGGAAAACATGATGAAGTCTCTATGGAAAAGATTTTAACAAGTAATGTGAAGAAGACAGAACAGGTCAACCAACCATCTCAGCTATGATGGACTGTGTCAATTAGTGGATTTTTCAAAGACCTCATCATGCTTGGAGTGGCAAGATTGGCAGCAATTCATACTGATCAACTATCAAAACCACTTGAGCAAGACCCTCAGAGCATGCCCCACATCCGGCACCTGGGGTGGGTGGGAAATTGGGTGGGCCTTCTCCCTTAATACCCCCCTTTAAACATGAAGGAAACAATATGGAAAAAATAATAGTCTTTCCACTTTCCTGTAGCCCTTGAACCTTTTTACCCTAATTAACTATGTAAGGATTTTCAAAATTAAAAAAAAAAATTAAAAAAACAAAAACAAAACAAAAAACAAGTAATGTGAGAAATATTGGATTACTTTAAGGAGGATCTGTTGACAGTACTGAAAATTATGCCATGTTTATTACACATTTTTAAGAGCAGTTTTGTAAATATCGTCTATGTACCTTAAAATTAAGATTAGATGCACAGTGATTTTTACATTAATAGTACTATTACTTTCATAATTATTGATGATGATTAGCTAATCATTAATACATAACAGCATTAATAATTTTAGTTCAGTTTCTTTAAAAATACCTTTACAAGTAAATTCTGAAACTGGTAAGTACCATAATTATTTGAGATACTTTTAGTAAATGGCACTGAGGAAATAAAAACCTGAATGAGAAACAGAGTTTTACGTTAAATATTGTCAGAAAAAAATATAGCTATTTAAATTATAGTTCAAGATGAAAAACATCACTAAAAGGTTTAAAATTTTTCATTTATGCTTTAGAATATGACTATGGAATATGTTTCAACTTTAAAGTGAATTATCTCATCACCTGATCACACCCATTTCCATCATTTAATTTATAACTATAAAAAAACAGAATTATGTAATTCCTTACCTAGATTGGCATACATCACAAACAAATTGAAATACTGCTGTAAATGACGTCCATTTTCTGAAACTTCCCTTCTCAGGAGATTTAGTACTGCTCTTAGTAAATGATCACTCAAACTGAAGCTATCACATTCCTGTAGGAGTGAAATATTCATTATTTTGCTAACAATACCAAATAGAAACAGTATAATTCTTTTTACATAAAAAAAAAAAATCTTAGGGCACCAGTACTATGGTTCAAAAGCTAATCTTCCATCTTGCAGTATTGTAATCCCACAAGGACATCAGTCCATGTCCCAGCTATCCCATTTCCCATCCAGCTTCCCTGCTTGTGGCCTGAAAGAGCAGTGGTTGATGGGTCAGTCTTGGGACCCTGCACCTTGTGTGAGACCTGAAAGAAGAAGCTTCTGGCTCCTGGTTTTGGATCAGCTCAGCTCCGGCCATTGTGGCCACCTGGAGAGTGAACCCTCAGAAGGAATATGTGTTTTTCTGTCTTTTCTCCCTCTGTAAATCTAACTTTCCAAGAAAAAGAAATAATGCTTTATAAAATATATTTTAAAAATCTTTTTTGTGCTTATCAAAATGGCAAGAAACAAACAGATGCTTTTTCTTTTTAAAAGAGAACAAGGAATTGTGACAAACTTCATTGCATATCCTTGCAGCTATTGCAACTGTAAAAATCTACAAGACTCTCTGTGTTAAAGTTACTCAACAAAGGTTTAAAGTAAACCATTATAAAATTAAAATCATGGGAAAAAATCTACTCAGGTATAAGGTGAAGTATCAAATTTTTAATGGATTTTTAATGGTGCAAGAACATATATTAATTTATCTGAATTGGGAAAATACAAAATTTATTTCCAGATATTTGATATCTAATAGGAAATTACATAATTACCTGACTACAAGGTCCTGGAGATGTAAAGGTTGAAAGACAATAAACATCTTGCAAGGAAAAATGTGCAATAAATACTATAAGCTTCGCAAATGTACTCCTGACTTCTGCACTAGGGCACTCCAAAAGGTATTCAGACAAACGATTTGACACACTGAAAAGTGTGTTATGCACAAACCAAAAACGTACATTCTTGCTGTGACGGAGGAGAATGCACAGGACATCACACCTGCAACAGAAATACTAATTGAGTATCACTTTGTATCAATCTACTGGTTTTCATTACTTTAGGGAAGAGAAGTTTCAAGACAAACAATATGGATGTCCTAACAATGAAGGTTCATGATTGTTTCTAGCAGAAATATCTAATGAATGACAAGCCCTCTGTTTCTGGTAACAAAATGAGTGAAATGAGAATATGTAAAGTGCCTGTGAAACTTTTGCTAACTTTTTCAAAGTAAAGTAACATCTCCAAATATAAATAAGACTTAGCTGTTAAACCAAGATATTTAATATGTCAGCTGAATTCAGCTAACAGTAACTTATGACATATCATTTAAAATTTTTTTTAATTTTTAAATCTCATATGAATTTACTAAAAGCTAATACTTTCACAAATTTAGATGTCTAAATTTGGTCATGTTGAATTTAGTAGTTCGACTGTTGCAGGAGTTTTGTGATTAGTACAAATATGAGCATTTAATTGGATTTCTGAAATTTAAAAATGATAGAAAAACAAATCATGTTATATCATAAACAGTCAAAACCAATTATAAAGACAATACAAATGAAATCCAGAGCCATGTACCAGTCACTGGCAGGTCCTCGGACAATCTTCTTGGTGTGAAATCCAGTAGTAAACAGGAATCTAGCGGCAAGCTGAATACTAATCATAGTGATTTCTTCTGCTTCAGGTAACAGGTGATCTTGTCCTTTGAAAGAGAAGTACAAACGTATTTTATTTTCAAATTTCCTATCAAATAAAATCTGGGCTAGTGTTATGGTATGTTATGGTAGTAGCAGGCTGCTAGCCCAGAATAGTGAAAAAAAAAATGGTGACTCATTACACAAACTTTGAATCATAATTCAACAAAAAGATGAAAATTGTAGAAAAAGCTGTAAAACAGATTTTGATATCTACTCAGAACCTACATGTAAAACAATACTTTATCAATAAGTAAATTCCAGAAACTCACCTGGACCAGGATTTAAGTAAACACTATTACATGTAAGCAGTTTTTTCACAAACTGAAAATATTCTAAACTATACTGCATTTGATTATGCATGAACTGCACATTTTGTTTCCGTACATTCTTCTCAATAACTGGCGACATCATTATCTGATGGGGTCTTGTAATAGTCAGACGTGATATATATCTTATCATCTCTGTATCTTCACTTATTGTGTCCATTCTTTCATAAAAAAGTATATATGCATTCCACCATCTTTTCTGTCTCCTATATGACATGCGTTTCATCATATAATCAGGTATTTCTCCCATGTAATCTCCACCAAAACATTGACTTTTCATTTCTTCATCATCATCCATTTTGCACTCCGTTACATCTCCATCATCAAATTTATACCAGTGTTCTTTCTGCTTGTCTTTATTTCTTTGAATGATGTATGAATAATAATGTCCACCACTTGCTTGACCGCTGTGTACCAGCACACCCACAAGTCTGTATTTTGTGCTTCTTACTGTCTCATTTTCATACTGCTCATTCTTTTTAGTTAACTGACTGTCTGTACTTATATTATCTCCTAGTTTTGCAACACCTGCAACCGTGTAAGGTTCCATGTCTAGCTCACGTGGAAATTCAAAATAATCATTGAATTTGATTGCACATTCTTTTTCCCAATCATAGTCAAATCTTTTCAGTTGGATAGCAAGCACAGCAGGTAATTTTTTAATTAGCAAGCGCTTTACTGTGTCAACCTGTAGTAGGCAAAATACACATGCATGTTATCTTGTAATCCAAATAAAATTTAAAAACTATAACGTTTTCAACCAATTTAGATTTACTTAAAGCTTAAGAATAGCACTACCGTAATTTCATTGTAACTGACTTTTTCTTTTTTCATTGTAACTAACTTTTAAACAATGGTTACCAAGACTTAAATGATGCCAGCAAAAAATTTCGGTGGATAGGAACCAACAGACATTGAGAGGGTGACATCATCCTGGGACTGTTGAAATTGGTAGCATTTCAGAACTATCTAAAACACTTGGACAAAACCCTAGGAATATGTACACATTGAGACTCTGGGTTCACATGAGGTGGCCGTTTCCTGTCCCTGGGTGCTGGGATGTGTGCATTCATGAGTGGTATTCCCCCATTGTTTCTCCCCTTACTCCAGGAACAATAAGAACAAATAGAAAATTGGGATGCAATGACTTTACACAGTTTTCCCTAAACTCCAATCCTTTCCCACCACGATCAACCATGTAATCATTATTTTAAAAAAATGGTTACCAAGATTAGAACTACACAAGTAGTCTTTTATTTTTGCAAATTACAACAACCAGTTTTATACACAGACAGTGCTATTGAATGTTTGGGTCCATTTGGCCCAAAAAATCCTGAATGTTATTTTATTTGATGTTTACTTTTATTTTTTAAGTTATTCACTTAAAAGGCAGAGTTATAGGGAAGGGAAAAAGAGGAAAACAAATTTTTCATCCGCTGGTAGACTCAATGCGCAGTCTGGGAAAAGCCAAAGTCAGCAGCTGGATATTCCACTTGGGTTTCCCACATGAGTGCAGGGGCACAATGATTGGGATAACTTTCTACTCTTTCCTGGCACTTTATCAGTAGCTAAACCTGAATTGGAACAGCCTGGCTTGAGCAGGCATCCTTATGTGATGCGGGAGCCATGCATAAGGCAGCAGCTTAACAACAATAGCTCTTTGATAGTGACTTTACACCTAAATAAAACTGGCTGTAAGTAAACTGAAAAAAATTTTAAGCCTTTCAATAAAAAAGCTAACATTTGTGTAAGACACCAGGTAATTACAGTAGGTGCTGAATCTATATTAATCTTCAATGTCCTTTGAAAAATACTATCTACTATTTTAATTTAAAAGATATGAATTAAGAGTGTCAAAAAAATCCACAGAGCCTTACGTGGCAATCACCAAATCTTCCAAATGCCAATATAACAAGTGTTTAGGTTAAAAAGTAACAGCAACTTGAAGAATAGTGAACGAAGACAGTTTACTTATATTGTATACTGACTTCAAACCCTGCAGTTTGTTCACCCCACAAACTAAATGCCCAGAGACAATATAAAATTAGTTGACTGCTTAAAAATTAACCTACAACAATATATAATTAGCAAACTTCTTAGATTTTAAGTGTGATACTCATACATAAAAAATTAGGGAGAATGCTTCCAACAGGGTTTCCAATTTTAGGAGTTAGGTAGCAATTTATTTTAGAGCAAAGATGCAAACTTTTCAAACTCCAGCAGTATACTTATTTCCTGACAAATCATTAAACACATCTCTAAACTAAACTAGTTATTAGGTTGGTTATTCTTTTGGCTATGATCACAATTAAGTAGAAACAACTCAGATGGTAATTTTGAGATGAGCATGAACTAGTTTGCTGCTTTCTAGTTCTATTAAATGATTATTTTTTAAAACCTATAATGCTTGAGGCAAGCACAATGATTCATTGGCTAATCCTCCCCTAGTAAAGCACCAGCACCCATATAGTCTCTGGTTTGTATCCCGGCTGCTCTGCTTCCCATCCAGCTCCGTGCCTGTAGCCTGGGAAAGCAGCCCAGAGGCTTTGGGACCCTGCATCCGTATGGGAGTCCCGGAAAAGCCTCCTGACTCCTGTCTTTGGATCGGCTCAGCTCTGGACACTGTGGCCACCTAGGGAGTAAGCCAGGGAATAGAGCATCTTTGTCTCTCCTTCTCTCTCTGAATATGCCTGTCAAATGAAAATAAATGTTTAAGAAAAATATCCCTGTTTAACACATACCTTTTTATCACATTTTTCACAAAAATATGCATTTGCACCTTCTAATAAATCCCCTTTGACATACTGCTCCAAAGAATCCAGAAGATTTTGGTGATTCCTGATGTCTACATTCAAAGTTGTAAAAGATTCTTCACACTCATATCTAAAGAAATTATTTGAGATACAATTAAAAGTTTGTTCCTCAGGTTTCTGTATGTTGCCTTTAGTTGTGAATGTGCTAAAAAAATGTATATTTTCAGCATTTATTATATCATTAATGTAAGAATGATTTAGGGTCCTTTATTTTGATAAAGGATCATATTTATATATAATCAAAATAAAGGACCCTAAATCATTTATATATTATATATTGAGTCAGCTGGAATGAAATCATAAACTGACTTACAAAGAAAAAAAACAGATATCTTAAAGAAAATATATCACTGTTAAAGAGTATATGAAAATATGATATTCTAAACAGTAATGAACTGTAACAGGTATGGAACTCAAGTCATCTTGCTATTACCTAATGATACAAGTCCTTCTGGGATATGTTTTGAGCTCTGGGCAAATTTTACTTAGTATAATAAACCATTACTTTTCTTTCATTTAAATTTTCTTAAAAGATTTATTTTTATTATTTTTTTATTGGAAAGGCGGATATACAGAGAGGAGAGACAGACAGACAGAGATCTTCTGTCCGATGATTCACTCCCCAAGTGAGCGCAATGGCCGATGCTATGCCGATCCGAAGCCAGGAGCCTCTTCCAGGTCTCCCACGCGGGTGCAGGGTCCCAAAGCTTTAAGCCATCCTCTACTGCTCTCCCGGGCCACAGGCAGGGAGCTGGAAGGGAAGCGGGGCTGCTGGGATAGAACTGGCGCCCATATGGGATCCCGGGCGTGCAATGCGAGGACCTTAACCACTGTGCCACCGCGCTGGGCCCAACCATTACTTTTCAAAAGAGACCAAAACATGAACAACTTGGTGATCAAAAAAAAAAAAAAAAATGCCAAATGCTTTTTACTGCATTCTACTTGATGAAAAAAGGTTTTTAGACCAAAAGCAGGCTAAAATAAGTGAAATAATAAGTATCTTTAATTAAGAATGAATGTGTGGAGCAGCACTGTGGCTTAAGGCTGCCAATAGTGCCCACAACCCATGATGACAATGGTTTTTAACTTCCTATCCAGTTCCCTGCTCATGGCCTGGTAAAACAGGAGGGTGACCCAAGACCTTGAGATCCTCTTACCCATATGGGAGACCTGGAAAAATTTCCAGAGTCCTGACTTCAAGCCAGCCTATCTCTGGTTGTTACAGCCATTTAGGGTGAAAAGATCTCTCTGTCTCTTTCTTTATGAAAATATTTCAAATACATAAAAACAATAATAAAACATAAAGTAAAATGGCTTCATGGGATGCTGGCATCCAATAAAAATACCACAGCTCCAATCTAGCTCCCTATTAATGCATGTGAGAAGAAGCAGAAGATGGCCTACTCCTTGTTCCCACCCTCGCCTCATAGGTGGTAGATCCTGGAAGAAACCCTGCTGAATTATGGCTTTGGACCAAGATTTCCAGCCATTTGGCCACTTAGGAAGTGAACCAACAGATACAATCACTCTTAAAGTTTGTGGTTTAAACAAACAAAGCTTAAAAACTGCAGTATTCTAATATGACAAAAAGTATAAATAAATAGATTGAAAAACAATGGTATAACTTGATAAACATTCCTTGTTAAGCAATATTACTTTTTATTTCAAATTATTTCCACTTACATATTTATGTCCTGTGTTTATATAATGGCTGGTTGTAGAAAACATTGTCTTAATGCATTTTTGCACACTAAGTTTTACATAAATAAAAAGTGAGGCTAAGCTTCAAAATAAAGCTGCAACAAAGCAAGTAGAAACTGTCTTTTCCGGACCAATACAACTGTTATTTAATTTACTGATCATCTTAATAGATCAATTTCTTTTTGTTAGATTTCCTTTTTAATATATCTTCCATGTGTTGCTTCAATCTCCAATGGCTGAGACAACTGGTTGCTGGACCAGGTTTACGTCAGGATCCAGGCACTCTATCAAGGTTCCCTATATGGATTTCCCAGTGAATTAGCAGAGCTGGAGAGAAAGTGTAGTTAACAAATATTCTGATAGGAGATGTCACTATTGTAGGTAAAGGTTTAACCTGTGTACTGGTAAGTTGTCCACTTATTTATTTACTCTTGATAGATTGTTTTGTATAACATACCCCAAGTATTAGCCAAGGCATTTTAAATGAATGAGAAATGAGCCCAGCACATTAGCCCAGTAACCTGAAGGCCTCGCCTTGCATGCACCAGGATCCCACATGGACACCAGTTTTATTCTCTACTGCTGCTCCACTTCCCACCCAGCTTCATGCTTATGACCTTGTGAAAAGCAGTCAAGATCAGCCCAAAGCCTTGGGACTCTGCATCCTTGTGGAAGACCTAGAGGAGACTCCAGGCTACTGGCTTTGGATTGGCTCAGTGCTCGCCACTGCAGCCACTTGGAGAGTGGTCCCATTCTACTTTTTATAAGTCTAACACATACTAATTTTATTTATGCTATTTTCTGAAAAGATGAAAAGCACACACTAAAAATATAATTAAATATATTCCTTTATCCTATTTTCTGAAAATATGAACTTAAAAGCATATACTTAAAACAATTAAATATTTACCTATGTGGGCAGCCTTGGCAAATCTTCTGATCAGCAAAGGAACCTCCTAGGACTTCACTTAGTATAGCAGGATGGCCTAAAGCTTTTAATGCTTCATCCAAACTGTCCACCAAAGAATTAAAAAACTCTAAAGCATCGTGTTGTTCACGGAGATTAACAGGTTCACCCCAAAGTCTGAAAAATGAATGGAGATATATATGTAGCCTTAGAATAAATATAAATTATGTACTACCAGAAAAGATAGTACAAACTGAGATTTTACCTCAAAAAATGAAATAAAATATGCACCATGTACAGACTTAAACAAAAAAGTAAAGTTCATAGTAGAAATGATTTTACATGGTAGAAGTTACCATAACTTGTTGGTGTGACAACAATTTTAGGCAATCTAATTGAACTTATGGTTTAGTCCCAACTGTGTGTATATAAAATGAGGACTAATGGTGAGGGGAGGGAGCGAGAGAAAGAATTTCAGGCTGAAAAACATTTGATGGTTTACCCATTCATCTGTTGGGTTGTTTCCATTTTGGCTATTTTGAATGCCTACACCTAACACAGATGCTGCTTTCCATTGCTTAAGGCTGTATATTACATATATTACATATAATCTATATATGAACTCGTTTGAAAATCTGACATAAGGATGATTACTTAAATACTGAAACATCAAAACAGGTCATTATCAAAATAAAGAATCCATATGCCAAAAAGTGTGATATTTCAGTGGATGTCCTGCAAGATTGTGTCTAGTTATTGGCATGTCAAGCAACATGTCTTAATATATCATCTCAGGTTATTTTCTATTTGCTTCTGTAGAAATTTTCCTTTGATTGCAAGCTGTTTGTCATGATCTGTAGAATGGCATTACTAATTTTACCCAATTAGTAGAACTAATTGTACCCAATTCTGTGACTAAACACACAACATGTGTGAGCTTATTAGGTAATAGTTAACTAATATAAGTAAAGGTGGCAAAAGATTTGTTTGTTTTTACATTCCTAATTAAACCATAGAGCTTTCAGATCATCAACGTTTCCTCTTTGCAGCCCTCATCCGGACTCTCTTTCTTCCTGGGCTTTAACACCTGATGTGGCAGCCTCCTCATTTGTATTTGTCTAGCTGGGGACTGTCTGGTAAATGAAGGATATTCCACTGCCTGTTGTAATATTCCAAATGTTTGTGTTTCTCCTCTAGTTTTCAAATAAACCTGCTACCTTGACAGTTTTTAAAGTTTTATGGTCATACATAAAGTAAGGTTCAGCTGAGTCTTAAGAGCTTTTACATTTTCAGCTTATACCAATATTCAATGTGAGTTTTGTTTTGTTCTTTTGACTTAAGGTCAAATAATTTAATTAAAACTTTTTTTTTTTCATTTTTACTGCTCTTTTCATCAGCTTCTACATTTTTGTCCTCAGTTGCTTTAGCTCTATTCCTGTTTCTGCGATTTGGATTTTTTCTGTGAGGGTTTCCCTTTCCTTATCTGGCATAAAAGGCTACTTCCTGCTCTCAAACACTGCCGAATCAGAAAATCATCCCATGTCTAGACAAGGCTATGGGGTTATGTGAGGCTGGCACTGAAAGAAGTTCAGTGGATCAGTTGCAGAAATATCTAACAGCTTTAGTTTTGGTGATACTCTTCCTCTCATGGCACCAGGTTCTGGCATCAAATACTACTGGGAACATTGTACATTTGTTGCAATCAGCTTAGTTTCTTAGTATTTGGGGTGGGGTGGGGGAAAATAATATTACAGGTCTCTTGTGATTCTGCGTAAAGTTTAGAAAGTGATTCTATGTATTTATTGTGTTAAAACATCTTAGCAAATATTATGAAAAAATATTTATTTGAGAGGCAGTTATACACAGAGACAATAAGCTCCTATCCGCCGATTTCACTCCCAAGATGGCTGTCACAGCCAGAACTGGGCCAGTCCAAAGCAAGGAGTGAAAAGCTTCCAAAATCTGTCACATGGGTAGCACGCTCATAAGGACCCAGATCTTCCATTGCTTCCCAAGATAACTTAGCAGCAAACTAGATGGTACGTAAGTAACAAAGTAATAAACTGGCATCCACAAAGAAATCTAGTGGATCAAATGTCTGCTGTGTGCTTAGACAGCAGCTTCTTCCAGGTTTCCCCACATGGATTCTGGGCCCAGGCGCTTGGACCATTCTCTGCTGTTTAGCCATGTACATTAGTAAGGAGCCGGATTACAAGTGGAATACCCATGACTTGAACCTGAGCACCTATGTGATATGTGATATGCTGGCATTGTAGATGATGGCTTAAAGCTCTATAACAGAATGCCAGACAAATGTATCCTTCATACAAAAAAAAACAAAACAAAACAAAAAACAAAACAAAACAACAACAACAAAAAAACCAGGTGTATTCTGGGTCAAGGAGTATGCCTTTACTATTTCATATATCTAAGATCATGTTATGTGTTAACAGATATTCCACTTCAGCTTTCCAGATCAGATGTCTATTTTTCCCATTTGCTTAATGGGCTCTGACTATAACCGCCAATAATACACTGAATAAAAATGATAAAAATTATACTTCGCTGTTGATCTCCAATCCTTAGTCTTTCAATAGTGAAGATTGTTTGTTTTTGAATTTTTTCCCTTTTTGAGGATTATTTAACATTCAGTTTCTCTACTTTTAACAAAGGAAAAAACACAGGTAAATATGTCTTCAAACTTTAGAAGTTTATATATTAAAGGTTAATATAAATATATGAAATGACAATCAAAAAGTAAAACAAATTATTTCTAACTTTTTATTTTAGTAGGGCTCTAGATTCACACAAATGCAAAAATAAAGACTTGTTCTTCCAATTTAGTAGATATTTGAAAAGCACAAATGGTCAACAAATACATGAAAAGATGTTTAACAAGAAGGAAAATGTGGATCAAATTCATGAGACATAATTCAAATTTTTTACTTGAGTTAAAATAAAAATTATGGGAAGATAGAAAACTTTGGTGTTAATGCAAATTGTAACCCTCTCTAATTTACCAACAGAAAATTAGAATGCTACAGGGACTGAAGTATATTACTGTTCTTCAAAAAGTAAAAAGCAGAATTTGGTATTCCAGCCATTGCACTACCATGTGTACAAAAAGAAATCTACTCACTTAAACTCTATATGTGCTATAAGGAATATATTACAGGGGCCCTATCAGGAAAGATGAATACCACCTACACCTTCATCAAATAAGTGAATGGGAAAACAACTTTTAACTCATTCACACAACTAAACACCATGTAAGTGAAATATGAAAACATTAGGTTTAGTCAAAAATGCTGGACATAAAAGGCCACATATTACATTTTATGTTTCATACAACATTATAAGTAAGTGCACTCAAATTATGACAAAAGTAGTTTTTAGATGCAAAGCTTAAAGGTAGGGTTGGCTCTCTTTCCCCGCCCTTGCTATAGAACAAAAGGAAATCAATGGTTCATGAGTTTGCATCCTTGTTAACTATGTGAACATTAAAAATAAAATTTTAAAAAGTTGGTACAAAGGAATAATTCTTTAATGTGCATGGGGAGCTTCTTTTTGGGTAACAGAAATGTGAATGACTGTACAAATATTCTGAATGTACTAGCATGACATTGAAATATACCTGTCGATATGACAAAAGAAAAATCTTAAATGAATTTTATTAAGACATTCATATGTGAAGAGGGTAGGTAATAGAAACATTATTGACATAAAATTTGAGTTCAACTATTACATGGAGGAAATGACTGAAAAGACAAAATATGGTTTTAGAATATATTATAGTTTAGTATGGTTAAAATTAAAAATATAAATATACATTAAAAATAAGCAATTGATATAGCAATATGTTATGAAAATATAACTATTGCATATTATATTTGGATTTTTCTAATGTGATTAATTACAAATTATGTAATTATGACTCAAACATACAGAAATAGAAATATGTAGACAAATATCTGAATGAAACTCTTCAACGTAAAAGCAAAATGCTAAGAGTACTTTAAATGAATAAAAAATAGAATGCTGGAAAAACTATGAGGAAGAGACGGCTTAACTCAGAATAAAAACAATTGAGGGCATAGGAAAGTAAATAACATGTTTCACATGAAAGGAAACAAATATATATAAATCATTCCAATGATCTACACTGATTTGGGAAAAAATGCTGTTTTGATTGTTAAAACCTAATGTCTTCCAACTTAGTTTACTCAGTCAATTTAGAAAGATTCTATGGAATTACACAATTCATTATTTTAAAAAGATTTATTTACTGTTATTGGAAAGGCTGATATACAGAAAGGAAGAGAGACAGAGAGGAAGATCTGCCCGATAGTTCACTCCCCACATGACCACAATAGCTAGAGGTGAGCTGATCAGAAGCCAGAAGCCAGGAGCTCTTCTGGGACTCCCTTGCGGGTGCAGGGTCTCAAAGCTTTAGGCCGTCCACAAGCAGGGAGCTGGATGGGAAGCGGGGCCACCGGGATAAAAACTGGTGACTGTATGGAATCCCACTGTGTGCAAGGCAAGGACCTTAACCAGTACGCTATCCTGCTAGGCCCCAGAATTCATTTTTAAATCCTAAAATATCCACAGGACTGATAGGACCCAAGGACTATCAGTACGGGCACCAAGGACTACATCCCACTGCCAGGAGACAATGGGGAATTGGAGTGCCTTTGGAGCCCGAGAACTCTGAGGTCACCCACCCCCATCTGGATCTACCACATGGGAAGGAAGAAGCCCAAATCCTTCCTCGCAGGATCCAAGGTCATCAGAATAACAGCCAGGAGCCCTGAGTGGTCCGCAGAAACAGAAGAACAGTAAACTTCCTTCGGGGCTAGGGAGAGGAGCTTTCTCTGATCCTTGCTTAGTTCCAACTCTGGATCTCCTCCCTCTCTTGCAATGACCATCAGGGTTGCCCCAAGCCCCCCACTAAAAACAAAACAAAACAAGAAAATTAGATCAGATAGACAGAGAACAACAAGGAAAGCTTAGAAGCAGACAGGAAACGGTCAGCGTGGATCCACATATACCTTACTAGGTGGGACACAAAGATTAGTTACTTCTCACTGTGGTACTGAAATTTCTCTGCATACCCCTCCTAAAACTGTTCTGCACCTCAACTGTTGACAAATGCCTGGTTAGAGTTATAAGCCAGTTTAGACTATACTAAAATCTGTTCAATAAAAATTATGCTTCAACACTATAAACTGCTAAATACTAAAATGAAAATAGACACAGGACAGCTGAATAGTACCCTATAACCATTTAAGGTGTATAGCAGCCAGTTTTATGTAAACTAACATTGAAATGTCAATGAAGTAGTCATAGGATGTGGTTAAGAACTTGCAAGTTTTAACATGTTGGTGACTCAATTCCGTGCCAATTGACTCCATAATGTTGTAAGTTGTTGCTTATGTTATGTTGGGGCTTTTAATTGATCGAGATGCTATTTTGCCATCTCTGCCTTCAGACCAGAGATGATCTCCTCAAGAAACCACTGAATTTACTTGGACAATAAGATGCTGAACTCTATGCTTGATATATGCTTGCAATGAAAGAATCTCGACTGAATTTGAACTGTAATACTGCAACAAGGTGGAGGAATCCAACGGGGGGAGAGGGGGAGGGTATAGGGAGGGGCTGTGGGAATCCCAGTGCCCATAATACTGTGTCACATAATGCAATGTAATTAATAAAAAACTATAATAATCAATGGAAGAAAAAAGAATCATAAAATAAAATGGCATCCATCATGATTCTGAAGACCAAATTATTTTAGAGATTTTATGTAGCTTATTAATAAAGAATGATTGCTTTAGTTATATAATGCTTGATGAATGATACTGGGCCTGATAATATAGCTCTGGTTGAACTCTCCCCTTGCATGTACCAGTATGGGCACCAATTATGCATGCCAGTTTATGTTCTAACTGTCCATTTCCCATCCAGCTCCCTGAGAGTGGCCTGGGAGAGCAGTCAAGGATGGCTCAGTCTTGGGACCCTGAACCCATATGGGGGACTGTGAAGAAGCTCCTGGCTCCTGGCTTTGGATCAGTCCAGCACCAGCCTTTGAAGCTGTTTGGGGAATACCAATGGATGGAAAATCTTTCTGTCTCTCTTTTTCTCCATAAATCTGATCTGCCTTTCCAATAAAAACTACTAGGCTTTTAAAAAAAATTACCAAATGGTAACTTTTAATATCACAAAAGGAAAAAGAAACATGTCTGAAATCACTGTAAATCTGAATAGAAGGACTCTATTTGTGTCAATCTGATCAAGCGGTTGCATTTATTATACAATTCAGCAAACACTTGGCGCACCCTCTATGTAATATTTCTAAATAATTAACAGTTTTATAGTTTTAAATGGCTGAAATTAAAAAAAATCATTACATGCAATTATAATTTAAGATTATGAGTAAAGATTGTTGAAAACAGTTACTCAATTACATATCAAATATATGGACTGAGTTTTTATAATAAAGTATAGCTGAGTATCTATGACGGACCAAATGACTTACAAATAAACAAAATACAGAAAACAATACACAAAACATAAAATACAGTCTAGAAAACCTAGACAGTGGAAAACTTTGGGGGCAAGCTATGCAATTTCTTCATGTCTCATAGATGCAAACAAAATCCAAATTCGAAAATCCCCTCAAAAAAATTAAAATCCAATCCAACTTGAAAAATAAAGCAACTAAGTAAATTTAAAGCAATGGATTTTAATGATACTAAGATGTTTTAGTTTTTATTTAAATGTAATAACATATGGTACACATAAATAAAAATACAAAAATATCTCACAGCATATTTTAGTACCTTGCACTTTTACCTTGAGATTTTACAAAGCATAATATCAATATTTTTCAATAGCAAATCAGTAGTCAAAATCATGTATAATATTAATGTATTATACACGATATACTGCAATGATACTTAATACTTGTGACTGAATAATTAAATATTATTTTAACTTAAATGTAATAATATTACAGCATGCATAATTGGAAGTATAACAATATTTCCAAAATATTTCACAAGTTTTACTTTAAAACCTTGAGATTTTCATAAATCTTAATATAATTATCTCCCTATAATTTACCTGAACTGTTTCCAAAATCCTCTGGGTATATAATATTGTAGTTGAGAAGCAGCTAAGTGACCAAAGATGATCTGAAGGTGCCTTAAAACACTTATGTTATACTCCTTCCTATCTTCACTTTTATTTAATGCTGGTTTGGCTTCAAATTGATATGCAAATGCATCACCTCGAGGTTCAAGATTAACCTGGAGACCATCAAATAAGACTATGAGATAACTTTACAAGTATTGCGAAGAAGCAGAAACAAATACCAAGTAGAAAATAAATGACTTACATTATTTTGTATTCTTTTTGAAAATACAAAGTATTTTGCCTTTTGTAGCATTCAATTATCTTCTTGCAGTTTTGTTATCGATTTTATGGTTTATTTTCACATAAAAGATTTATTCACTCAAATTAGATACAGATATTAACAGTAAGTGCAATTGGAGTAGCAGAACAGACTGAAATCCAAAGGCCATAACTCTTGGGAACTACAGAGCAGAATTTCTTGAAAATCTCTCCTAATGTTTTGCTCTTTACGAGAGGTTTAAGATATAGGAAAATAATACTAGATTTCTGCCATTGAGAGCTACAGTCAAGAAAAACAGGCACTATTTCATTACAGTGTCTTCTCAGTATGATTAACCTTTTCTGCAACAACTCAACACCTCACTAATCATATATGATTTAAATTTCAACTTTTCTCTTAACTTAATCAGACACAGACAGGTGCCTCATAGAGAGACTTTAAAAAACCAAACCCAATGCCTGGTTGATGTGATGTTAAACGTGAGGACAGTGGAAAGAGGTACAATTCAAATTCTCAATATGCAATTGTTTATAACACAGGACCTAATTTCTTATCACTGCAGGAAAGAAATGTAAAAACAGAGAAAGAGTCATGTTACTTCAACTCAAATATTTTGATTTTCATTTGATTCCAATACTTCAAGAATACATAATACTAAGATGAACAGCTTGGCTATAAACTAGTCCCCAGTTGTTTTATTTTCCATTCCGGATATACTTAGGTATACTATGAAATACTAGTCTAATTTTTACTCTGCTACAATCTGCATAAAATAGCTTTGGTTCAGTCTGATTTTAATTAATAATGTTAATAGACCACTTACTATACTTAACAACTTTATTTTCTTACCATGCAGAACCATGTGAGAAAAATGTTAAAATGAAATAATCCTAAGAATGAGCAGAAATCATGAAACTGACAAATATACTATGGAGTAAATAAAATTGAGTATTTTTGTACAAATACTTAAATATTTTTACCACGTAAAACCAGAGAATTTATTTAAGACAAAGTGATAAAACATCAAAATGTAAGTTTCAATTTTATTAGACATTGCCTACTTAATGAAGTAAATACTAAATTCAGTGATCTTATGACAATTATAAAATGTAGTTAAAAACAATCGCATAAAAGTTCAAAACTCTTAGGCTAACATCTATTACAACAATTTGAAATACAGGAAAAAAAAAATTGGTAACTGAATTTACCTCACTGTTTTGCTTCTCCTCTTCCCCACACATATCATCCTCTAAATCAGTACCTGTGCCTTCAACTACAAGAATAGTATTTCTGATAGAAGGAATCATGAATAGTTGTTGAATCACTGAATTCATGTAACAAGTAGCACCAGCATTTTTGAGTCCTACAAATCCTTCTGGTGGTCGTGGTCCAACTGGTGGCAGATACTCCCACTCAGTAAGTGCTTCATAAGCTGAGAGATAAAATGGTACTCATAGTAAGGAAATAGTCACTCTCTCTATTGGTAGTCCTGATATGCTAACAAATATTATCAACAATTGTTTCATGAAAAGTTATTAAGCTCTTCTAAAAACTGCCCAGGTCCTTATCATAGAGCATCATGTACTTTTTACTTATTTTAAAAGTATTTTGGGCTGATGTTGTAACACAGGTCAAACTTTTGCCTATGACACCAGCATTCCATGTGACACTGATGGACCCAGATGCAGTTTCACGTTCCTAGCTTTGGCCTGGCCTGGAGCTGCTACTGCAGCCACTTGCAGGGAACTAGCATATTGAAAATATCTGTCCCTGAAAGTGAGAGTTACAATGAGAAACCATTCAATCATCCATTTGCTTATTCCTCAAATGTCTGTTATAACTAGTGCTTAGCTAAACAAGACCCAGTCGCCAAGTACTCTAATGTAGGTGGCAGGATTCAACAACTTGGGTAGTCTGCTGCTGCTTTTTCCAGGCACATTAGGAGGCAGCTGGGACCAGAAACAAAGCATCCAGGACTCAAATGGGTGCCTACATGGGACATTGCTGCGACATGATAAGGTGGCTACCTTGTGTCACAACAATAGCATTCAAGTTTTTATTGCCATTGTTTTTATGTAGCTTTATTTATTACAAATTTACCTACCTAAAAATACTTCCATAAACTAAAATTATTCACTCACTGTAATCACAATGTTTAAAAACAATAATTTGTGTTAATTTGAAAGAGCTGCAGACAGTAAGACAGAGATAGAGAGACTGATTTTCCACTGCTGTTCATTTCCCAAGATTTTAATAATGGAGAGTGGGGCTGGACAGAAGCCATGAACCTCTTCTAGGTCTTGCACATAGGTGCTGGGGCCTAGCATATGGGCCATCACCTGTTGCCTACCCAGGCACATTAACAGGGAGGTGGATCACAACTGGAGCAGTCCAGAATTAAATTTGTGAGCAGCTGTACAGGGCAGCCAGAGTCAGATCTTTCATGTAAACAAATTAAAAAGCCGCAGCATTCTGTTTTAATTGCATACATCACTTACGTTCAGATAATAGTTTAGATTCATTAAAACTGATACTATCACATAGATTTGTATTTTTTATTAAAAAGTAACAGAATAGCTGCAGTCTCATCAGGAGGAGTTAGTAAGATTGAGTATTTGCAAACACTGAGAACAAACTAAGTCCATTTTATATCCCTTTCTGCCTAGCACTGAACCAGGAGCAGCACCACACTGACTTTGTATAGATCATATTAAGAAAGAATGTACTAAAATTCAAATCTCAAAGATAATAAATAGGAATAGATAAACTCTGATTACTGACAGATGCATAAATAAATGTAAAATAAAACAAAGTGAAGATACTGTATATTATTATTTGAAAACAACAAAACCAAAATATGAAAAGACACTACAAAATGAAGAGAAATGAATGAGGAAGATCTATATAGAAAAAGGGACCAAGAATATAAAATGAATTTTATTTTTACATTTGGGAAATAAATATGGTACAATGCTTCAACTGGCTAATCCTTTACCTGAAGTGCCAGTGTCCTATATCAATGCTAGTTCATATCCTGGTTGCTCCACTTCCCATCCAGCTCCCTGTTTATGGCCTGGGAAAGCAAGATCCCTGTTCCCACATGGGAGACTTGGAAAGGGCTCCTGGCTCCTGGTAGGCTCAGTTATGGCCATTGTGGCCATTTGGAGACTGAAACAGTAGACGGAGGCTCTTTCTCTGTCTCTCCTTTTCTTCTCTCTGCATAATTTTAGGTGTTCTTAAGATTTATGATAAACGTAGCTATATTTTGTTAGTGCTTATATAATGGAAGAGATTCAATGGTATCATTTTTGTTATGTTACTTACTATTTTCCCACTTCCTTCAGGAACTGAAAATAGTTACTAACCTTGTGGAACTAACGTTGCAATGGAAACGTAAAATATCACAAAGTTTTTTCCTCTTTCACATCCTTATATCTTTAAACAACTATATCTTTTTCAAAACTTAATTTTGAAAATGAAGTAACATGTACACTAGGGACTGAAAATCTTCCCAATAAGCAAATTTAATAAAAATAACTGTGACTTATTTTTTTTGCTGTAAAGGAATTTAAAAATTTCATTATGGAAATAATTATATAAATTAATGTTTTATAAAACATCTGCAGAAGAATTTATTATTTTGCAAAATTTTCTATATTAAGTTTATCTGGCTTATATAATGGACTTAATTATATACTTATTAAAAATGTTATCAGTAATTGCTTAAAATAAAACAAATGGATGGCTTTTAAAATAAACAGAAAAAAAAACCAGAATAAACATAAGGACATCAACCAATATAAACTTTTTAAAATACTTACTAGTTATTGCTGTGTCTAAGTAATACATTTCAGTCAAACAGTCTACTACCTCTTTGAGATTTTTTACACAGCCAACAGCTAATGCTACAAGCAGTTCAAAACCGGCCCTGATAGTAGCTGGTGAACCACAGACTGGAACAGCCTGCTCTGCTGGCAATTCTCCATTTTTTACATATTGCAGGTAAACTTTGGATGCAGGGAAGATGAAATCATCAATTAATTCCTACAGGTTAAGAAAAGTCACTTATTATTAATAAAATGTTTTAGAAAAAGTCTCTTGAAAGAAACACTTGCATAATTTCTTGAGATTACCAAACTTTATATCCCCAAAACAACTTTTGCTTTTCTAACAAAATAAAGCCATAATTAAAAATTACTAGGTATAATTAACAAACCAAACTTTTTGTAGATACTTTAAAAACAGTAAAAAAGAAAGCTGACATAGAATATCCTTAAATCAGATAAAACTGAAAATTAAAATCCATTAGAACTGAACTTTTCTTTCAGTTTTAATATTGTAAAACTGTCAAGAATTTGGCTATGTCAATCTGTAAAGATGATATATTCCCCATTCTGAAATATGATCAAACAAAAATTTAATTTATTAAGACGCAAATCCAAGAAACGCTGCTAACTTATATCCCAAAGAGTTTCATTTGTCTTTTTATAATTACTACAATAAATTTTAACAAGTTAGGCAGATGTTTAAAAATTTTAGTAAACTCCTTCAAGACAAAGGCTTTATAAACACTATCAAAATACTGTCTCAAAAGGTAATACTAAACAACTCAAATACATCTGTAGAATTGTAATAATTAGTTTAACATTAAAATTCAGGACTTACTTTAATAAGATTAGCACCTCCTTTTTTACAACCAATGTAATACTTTTGCTCAGGAGTTTGAAAGGCCATCAACTCTTTTGTGACACCCAAGTGGCCTTCCAAAATTGATTCTTCAATACCTGTTTCACCTGTGTTTTTAACAGCATCCTGCCAATGGAAAAATATTACAGGACTAGCCTATGACATAGGTAAGGACAAATGGAACCACAACATCATACAGTCAGAGGTGATTTTAGCCATGATTTTGCGAAATTTTCCCATTTAGGTCAGAACTCTTAAGACAGACAATTTGACAATTTTTTCTTCAAGAAATAGAAACCTTCTTGGGCTTTTTATATGTGGATTAAGGGAAATTACTATAACATCGATGGATGTTGCTCATTCACTGTAGCTCTTCAGAAAAAGAGACTGTGTTTCTAAATATCAAATGCCAGGGCTCAGAATACTTGCATTGTGGTTAAGACTGGTTGGGTTGTACACATACAGTAACTAGAGTGCTTAGATTTGGGTCTTGGATCTGTTCTTGATTCTAGATTCCTACTCAGGTACACAACTGGGAAGTAGCATGTAAGGTTCCAGCAGATGAAACCTTTTTATTTATGGGAAGACCCAGATTGAGCTTCTGACTACAAGATTAATTATGCCCAGTCCCAACCACTGTAGATGTTCGGTTAGTTAAAGAACAAAAGGGAATTCTTTGATTTCAATGAATGAATTAATCCTATTTATTCCCCAGGCAGATTTCAAAAAATACTAATAGAATCAAAGGCCAAAGCTATAAAATCTAGAAACACACTCTCTTGGAAATGCTAATCTATAATATTCTGAGTAAATGTACCAAAAATAGTTCCAAAATAACAAAAATATGAGTATCAAACTTCAAGGCATTCAAACAGGACTGGTTGTGCATTCCTTCTATGAATCAGTGGTGAATTATTTGAAAGCTACAAATTCATCAAGAAAGGAATGCACCTGTTTATTAGAGTCAGGTCTGTCGCTGTCCTACAGTGATGGACTTGGTATACACAGAGCTGATAATAACACGTGTGGACTACTGACTGATGATCAATAGCCAAAATTTGTTAGGGGCATCAGACTATACACTGAGGGTCATGTAAAATTAGGGTGGAGGTATTGAGCTCATCAACAAACCCATCAACTGTTTCTATATTTATGTTTGGAAGTCCTTTTGTCTTGTATATTCCAGCAAGTGTTCTCACACACATACTGTCCACTCAACTGTTCTTATACAAATGATACCCTATCAGGTATACAAAAGGTAACCATGTGGTTGTTCTCATGCAAAGTATATTCAATCAGTCACACAAAAGGCACCCATCCAGTTGTTTATCATACAAATATTGTCCAACCAACTGTAATCCTGTGCTCGTTGACCTTCTAGGGTTACAAGGTCCTCCCTACACAGTTCTTTAAAACCCACCCTTTAAAATGAGAAAGTTCACCCAGAATTAATACAACAAAACTGAATATTATACAAAATACCTTAATTCTTTTGAGCCAATCAATTTCATTGTTAAGAAGAACGTCAGCATCAGGTACATTTACATTACTGTTGTAAGCATAATTAAGGAGCTGACATAGAAGTGTGAAATATTCACCAGAATGTTTTCCCCTCTCTCTTGCTGTGCTCTGAAATAATACAGTAAAACAATGTTTACACTCAGAATGCGTACCAGAGAATTGAAACTATGATAATGCTTTATATGACTTAAATAAACAATGAACTTCATACTGTTTTCTATTTTTCCAGAGACAATAGTCATGTCTTTAATAATCCTACAAGTAAAAGCCAGTCTACAAATACTTTGTGGTATTTTATTAAATCACAACAAATCAGACCCAGTGCCGTGGCCTAGCAGCTAAAATCCTTGCCGTGAATGCGCCGGGATCCCATATGGTTGCTGGTTCTAATCCTTGCAGCTCAGCTTCCCACCCAGCTCCCTGCTTGTGGCCTGGGAAAGCAGTCGAAGACAGCCCAAAGTCTTGGGACCCTGCACCCGCGTGGGAGACTTGGAAGAGCTTTTGGCTCCTGGCTTCAAATTGGTTCAGCACTGGCCATTGCGGTCACTTGGGGAGTGAATCACTGGACAAAGATCTTCCTCTCTGTCTCTCCTCACGATCGGTCATCAGAACCAGAAGATCAATAAACTTCCGGCGGGAAAATGGGAGAGGAACCTTCTCCAATCCTTACCTAGTTTCAGCTCTGAGCCTCCACCCTCTATAATGACTAACAATGTTCCTTCTAAACCCCCTAACCCCCTTCACACACACACACACACACACACACACACACACACACACACACACACACACACACACACACACAAACACTCATATACACACACTAATAGGATGAGATAAGCAAAGAACAGTAAAGAAAGATAGGTCATCAAGGACTCATACATGTCCTATTAGATGGAACACAAAGAACAAGTACCCATCAGCAAGGTATGAGAGATTTCTCTGCAACACCCCCCAAACTCATTGCACATCTCAAATGATGAGGTGTCATTGAAATAGTTGCAGGAGGTAGTCAAGAACTTACATGTAATTTTAACATATTGTCTACTCAATACCATATCAGATATCACATGTTTGTTTTGATTTAACCTGTAATTTATGCTTAGTTGTTTGTTACTTTTTGAACCTGTCATTGATACTGTCTCAACCCAGATGTTTTGAAGAATTGAACTTGCATTTTTTTTTAACAGGTTGTTCACTCAATACTATGTCAATTAATTCCATAAAGTTGTATATTGATGCTGATGTTTTGTTGGGGATTTTAACTGACCGGAACTTTACTCTGTTAGCCCTACCTTCAGACCAGAGAAGGTCTCCCGAAGAGGCCACTGAACTTATCTGGACAATAAGATGCTGGACTTTATGCTAGGCATGTGTTTGCAAGGAATGAATCTCAACTGAACTTGAACTATGGTTATGCAGCAAGGTGGAGGAATCCACTATGGGGGGAGGGGTATGGGAGGGGTGGGGGGAATCCCCAGTGCCTATAAAACTGTACCACATAATACAATGTTAATAACAAATAAATAAAAAAAATTAAAAAAAAGAAAAATCACAACAATTCAAAGTTAAATAAAAGCTAAATTCTTAATTTTCTGAAGGCTGCTTCGTTTTAACAATAACTCACATTTATAGGTTCATCTGAAAATTTTTTACCCCAAAATGGTAAAGAGCTTACCCCCAAAATGGTAAAGAGTAGAGTAATGAAGAAAACAAGAGGCCGATGTCCCATGCAACATCTGGTACACATTAAAAAAAATTGCTCTTGTGCTAACTGGCGAATGGTTCTGGAGAAAAAAAATATGTTTACTTTGTTACATTCACAAACAAAATAAAATATCAATGATGTTCTAACAGAATCTATGAATTAGTAATGACAATATTAGCAGTTAGTTAACAACCAAGAATATCTGAACAATATGGTAGTTGCCAGGGAATTAAAACCTTAAATTGTCAAGCAAACATTTGGAAACATATTACTAACAGTATTCTTAAAGTTTCTTAATGCATCGTTTTTTTGAATTTTAACTGTAGTGCAAGTAATCGGGAAAGCTTGATTACATCAATGGTAAAGAAACATATGCCTCTTTGTTTCTGAATTGATGCTTACATTTCTATTTGGAAATCTGCAAATGCATTTCTACTAAGTACTGTATGAAATTTTCCACTCTCCTGAACTGTTTTCAATGAACCATGCTTTGGTTCAAAGGGATTATGAAAACTATAACAGCTTGATAACTCATGTTTAAAAACAGTTCTTGAAATGTGGTTGCTAGGGCCAACTGTATCTGAGTCACTCAGGAAGGCCTAAAAACAAATTCTTGGCACTCTGAATCATTCATTCAATCAACTGGCATTGTACAGGGTGGTTAAGACACTTATGAAGATTGTTCACATTCTATTCCCCAGTGCTGCTTTGAGTACACAAACTCTGCTTCCAAATTGGGTATCTGCTAATGAATCTTGAGAGATAATCGCCAAGTACTAGGGTCCTTTGCCACCAATGTGGGAGATTTGACTGGAGTTATTGGCTTCTATTTTGCTTTGGCCTACCACACCAGTTGCTGGGTGCAATTTGAAGAGTAAATGATCAGATGAAAATTAGTCAAGCTCACAACAACTTTCATATATACCATCAAAAAAAAAAAAGATAATTATTGAGACTAAAATTAACAGACTAATGTCCTACCCTGGAAGTGCCAGCATCTCTTAAAGTCACCAGTTCATGTCCCACCTGCTCCACTTCCTACTCAGCTCCCTACTTGTGGCCTGGGAAAGCAATAGAAAATGGCCCAAGCCACTGGCACCCTGCTTCCATGTGGGAATATAAGAAGCTCCTGTCTACTGCTTTTGGATTGGCTCAGTTCCAGCTCTTTACCCATCTGGGGAGTCAAACAGTAGATGGAATATCTTTCTGTGCTTTCTTCAGCCTGTAAATCTACCTTTCTAATAAAAATAAAATAAAAAAAAACCTTAAAAGAACACATTAGTTTGCTTTATTTGCTTTAATCAGATTTAGAAAATTACTTGCTTGAAAATAGTGACAGAGTTAGGTAGTAGCCTTATGGCTAAAATCTTCACCTTGCACACACCCGGTATCCACTAACGGCCCTGGTTTGTATCCCGTCAGCTCCACTTCCCATCCAGCTTCCTGCTTGTGGTCTGGGAAAGCAGTCGAGGATGGCCGAAAGTCTTGGGACCCTGCACCCGCGTGGGAGACCCAGAAGAGGCTCCTGGGTCCTTGTTTTGGACTGGCGCAGCACCATTGCAGCTATTTGGGGAGTGGATGGAAGATCTTTTTCTCTGTCTCTCCTTCACTCTGTAAATTTGACTTTGTAATAAAAATAAATAGATAAGGAAAGGAAGTAAAGGAAAGAAAGAAAAAGAAAGAAAGAAAGAAAGAAAGAAAGAAAGAAAGAAAGAAAGAAAGAAAGAAAGAAAGAAAGAAAGAAAGGAAGAAAGGAAGAAAGAAAGAAAGAAAGAGAGAAAGAAAGAGAAAAAGAAAGAGAAAAAGGAAGGAAGGAAGGAAGGAAGGAAGGAAGGAAGGAAGGAAGGAAGCAAGGAAAGAAGGAAGGAAGGGAGGGAGGGAGAAAGATAGATAGATAGATAGATAGAGGGACAAGGAGTCAAAGGAGGAGCCAATGTTGCTCCACCAATTGGCTTATTCCCAATACCACAATGAAAAGAGTGTAAGAACAAATAAAACCAGGATCCTGAAACTCAACCTGAGTTTCCCTAGTTGTTGCCAGAGTCTAAGTAAGCCATCACACTGCGCTTCAAATTTGTCTTAAAGGGAAGCTTAGAAACAGGAGACAAGAGCTGTATATCAAGGTTAGGTAATTTGTTGTGGAACAAAGGGTGTCCTAACTATCAAAATGTCTGTCCCAATTTTTGAAAATAGGCTCCATATAAAACTTTCACATGCACCTGAATTCTGAAATTACAAAGAACAAGACTCTAGACCAATCAGTTCCAAATTCCTGTCCTATCAGAGAAATATCAAAAACCAGTCCTAAGCTGCCAGTGTTCCTAGAAATAAATGGTTTACATGAACCCAAACATTATCAATTAAGAAACGGAACATTTCATGAAAGCAGCCTGATGGTGTAGCATGCTAACACTTCAAGTGTAAACACTGCATCCCAGAAGAGTGCCAGTGCATGTCCTGGCTACTTCACTTCCAATCTACCTCCCTGCTTGTAACCTGGGATGTTGGCAACTCTCAGAGCTGAGTGGAAGGACTAGGGTTACAAAACAGACAACACACAGTGGGTCATTCTTGTAAAGAGAATGCCATTTATTCAAAGTCAAGCCTCGTCTTTTATAGTCTGCCTGGCTCCTCCCACTATTTTCCCAATGCTCAAGCATGCCTAAACTCCCCTGAGGGCATCTTAAAAAGGGAAAGCAGAGAAGAGCGAACTTGCAGTCAAGCCAGGGGCTAAAAGATTGCCCATCCTGTTACACCTTGAGAAACAAGCTAAGCTGTGGAGTTAACCCTTGGGAGACCAGGGCCTGCACTGAGATAGCTTGGTAGAGAATGGATCAAAGCCTTGAGACCCTGCACCTGAAAGGGGGAGACCTGAAAGAGATTCTTGGCCTCAGATGTGCTCAGCTGCGGCTGTTGTGGCCATTTTGCGAGTGTACCAGCAGACAGAAGTCCCTTCTGTCTCTCCTTCTCTGTGAAATCTGCCTTACAAATAAAAATAAATTTCAAAGAACCTGAGAAAATCATGTAACCACCTCTTTAATAACAGGTATTATCATACCAGTATGTCCAGGTACTATCGGAACACTGCTGAAAAACAGATGTATCTCTTTATTGCTTAACACAGCAGTTAATAATGATGGAAACTTCTGAGATTTGGTGAAATAATTTAAGTTACTGGACAAAGACAATAGATAGTCAAGAAAAGCAACTGAGGATAGCCCAAAGCCTTGGGATCTTGTACCACCACCACAGCAGATCTGGAAGAAACTCCTGGCTTTGGATCTGCTCAGCTCACGTGGGCAGTGAACCAGTGGTTGGAAGATCTTCTGTCTCTTATCTTAAATCTTCCTTACCAAAAAAAAAAAAAAGTGTTTAAAGCAGTTTTTTTTTTTTTTAAGATGAAAACTTCCCTGCTGTGAGGAAGAGTCAGTATATACAAAAGCAAACAAGAACAGTAAGGAATTTAGTAAATCATATCCCTGGGGCCAGCATAGTAGCACAGTGAGTGAAGCTTCTGTCTGTGATGCCAGCAACCCATACCACATCTATTCAAGATCTAATTCTCTACTTCAGATCCAGCTCCCTAGTAATCTAGCTCAGAAAGCAGAAGGTGGCTGGCCTAAGTGACTGTTAGCTTCAGCCAGGCACATCCAGTTGTCGTGACCATATGGGCAAAGCACCAACAGAATTTAAATTTCCACCTTTCTCTCTCCTTCTTTCCTTTCAAATAAAAAGTTAAATTTAAATATATAAAAATAATTTCATCCCCAATCAAAACATTAGCGGAATTCAAGTTATATCGTCGATAATTATGAACATACCCCATAAAACAACAATTTTCTTTTAACCTTCTTGTTAAATAAAAAATTAAAACATTTAAAAATATTATTTTGCTCAATCAAAACATTAGTGAAATTCAAGTTATATCATCAACAATCATGAACATATTCCATAAAAGGAAGGAAATCTCATATCAAGAGTAAATACAGTGTATTTTAAAGTTTTTAAAGGAACAGTTTTTCCCCCTTAAGGCAATATGAATTTTAGTTAAATAAATGTTTCATTCACTGATACAGATGACAAATTAGCATGCACTTATAAAATATACAATTTCATCCTCTCTGTAGCCCTTTGGAGTATTATTATTTTATTTTTCATAATATAGTTCTTTATGAAAAAGGAATTTTCCTTTAACTCGCACCCCCCCTTGTCCCTCTGCAACTGACTTCCCCCATATCAATGTGAGTATTACACACTCCAGTGCCTTTCGAAAACTTTTAGGCTGGATCTAATCCTCAGCTAGTCTGTCAGTGTGCTTGGAGCAGTGAAGCACACTTGCTACAGGAAAACAGCACTATTGAGAATGGCCATAGTTTGAAGTGAAACCATATCCAAGGGAACCCATATTCTACTCCAATATCCAAGGGAACCCATACTCCACTCTAATATCTATTACTTCACTTTTGGAAGTCAACACAAACATCAGACACCGCATATATAATTTTTTAAACAATTTAAAAATTCCACTTCAAAGTAGACATGGGTTAAAAACAGAGAAACATCTTCCATCTAACGGTTCACTCCCCATATGGCCACAATGATCAATGATAAAAGCTGTGCCAGTCTAAAATCAGAAACCAGGAGACTTTTTTAGATCTCCCACGCGGGTGCAGGGTACCAAGGTCCTTGGTCGTCCTTCACTGCTTTCCCAGGACACAGGCAAGGAGCTGGAAAGTACAGAATCTGGGACATGAAGTGATACCCATATGAGATCATGGCACTAGCAGCCAGCGGATTCCTGGATAGGAAGTACAGCAATTGCAACTAAAACTGACCATTTTGGCTGCCAGAACTATAGGCTGATAATTAGCCTGTCACCTCACTGCTCTGGCACTATAAGCCCCATCTTTTATACATGTTGTGGTAGCTCTGTGAATGCTGGTCCTGTCAGTTTCCGTCTGTGGGATTTGGCAACAGCATGAGATTTGCAGTAATTTTTGAATTCAAACCAGAACCAGCATCTTGTGTTCCAGGTGCACAGTATAGTCTTTCAGTAACAGTCAGAAGCTTAACACTGTT